ACTCCGTTTGCCATTTTCGTGTAAAAGCAATTGAAATTTCAGCCAAAAATGGTATGATTTGGGGCGTACGTAGCATAATTCGTGTAATCCGACATCAGATTCGTTATTGGCGATCAAAAGTACCCTCTAGAGCATAGTTTCGATGATAAATACTCCGTTTGCCATTTTCGTGTAAAAGCAATTGAAATTTCAGCCAAAAATGGTATGATTTGGGGCGTACGTAGCATAATTCGTGTAATCCGACATCAGATTCGTTATTGGCGATCAAAAGTACCCTCTAGAGCATAGTTTCGATGATAAATACTCCGTTTGCCATTTTCGTGTAAAAGCAATTGAAATTTCAGCCAAAAATGGTATGATTTGGGGCGTACGTAGCATAATTCGTGTAATCCGACATCAGATTCGTTATTGGCGATCAAAAGTACCCTCTAGAGCATAGTTTCGATGATAAATACTCCGTTTGCCATTTTCGTGTAAAAGCAATTGAAATTTCAGCCAAAAATGGTATGATTTGGGGCGTACGTAGCATAATTCGTGTAATCCGACATCAGATTCGTTATTGGCGATCAAAAGTACCCTCTAGAGCATAGTTTCGATGATAAATACTCCGTTTGCCATTTTCGTGTAAAAGCAATTGAAATTTCAGCCAAAAATGGTATGATTTGGGGCGTACGTAGCATAATTCGTGTAATCCGACATCAGATTCGTTATTGGCGATCAAAAGTACCCTCTAGAGCATAGTTTCGATGATAAATACTCCGTTTGCCATTTTCGTGTAAAAGCAATTGAAATTTCAGCCAAAAATGGTCTGATTTGGGGCGTACGTAGCATAATTCGTGTAATCCGACATCAGACTCGTTATTGGCGATCAAAAGTACCCTCTAGAGCACAGTTTCGATGATAAATACTCCGTTTGCCATTTTCGTGTAAAAACAATTGAAATTTCGGCCAAAAATGGTCTGATTTGGGGGGTAGGTAGCATAATTTGTGTAATCTGACATCAGATTCGTAATCAGCGATCGAAAATACCTACTAAATGAGAATTTTGGGCCACAATAAGCGTTTTCAAAAAATTGTTTACTCACCTCCGCACTTGGGGCAGTTTTTTGGGGTACACATGCCCCCCGCTGGGTCCCTTTGCCCCCTCATGACGAGGTTGAGTTGGCTGAATGTTCTTTAGGGTCCTACGAACACATTACAAAAAGTTTTATCAAAATCAGTGCTGTTCCGCAACATTTCCACGTGTTCCGGCTTATTGACTGTACTAGTACGCCTATGTGCTCATTTCCGCGCGAATTCACTCCTCTTCTTGTAGGCGCACGCTGTTCGATACGAGTCTCACACTCTCGTAAAATGTGTGCCCAGTTCGACAGTTGGCCGCGGTGGGTTGCCTCGATCAGTGCCGAAAAGTTGTCTCACCTCGTAGCATTGGCGTTAGCAATCTCTCTACTCATCTATGATTTCACCGTTCACTACATTCAAAAAGTTTGTTATGTTTTTTTAATGAATTTTCGACTTTTCTGTAGTTTCAAAAACATAAGGGTAATATTCACACTTAAGTCAGCTCATTGACCTGAAATTATTAAATGCATCGATGAAATTTTGAATGTTTTTCGCTCACTACTTTACATTATTAGAAAAACTTTTTAGTCAATCTCATTACAGATAGCACAACTGTATTATTACTAAAATTATTTTTAGTATATATATTTATTACATGTTTGCTTATTATTTATTTTCGTTCTTTATCTTACTAAAGGCTTATAAATCCTTATTTAATATTTATTATTGCTTTTTCAAACTGCTTTGAATCGATACAGCAAATAATTAGAGACGATCGCTTGTATGATACTATAGCCAGTAAAAGCCCAATATTTATTGGGTTAACATAACGTAGAAACCAGATGAATTTTACCTTAATTCATGGGAGGGCAGTGGGGGGCTGTGGGAGTCTTTTGGAGGGCAGTGGGGGTTGTACGGAATGTCCCACACATTTAACTATTTAATTTCGAAGGATATATATATATATTTATATTTCTTTCTACATAATATACTTACATTTTATATGATATGAAATTATTGTATATGATAACTTTATCGCAGTCTAACTTTTTAATAATTAAATAAAAGTTTCAGTCCAATGTAATTAAATTAAGCAGATGGCTTAACTTGGACTGCAAGAAGCCATGATTCTTCGAAGCTATTTGTATAGGCCTGTATACATCATGACGATTAGTCTGAGCTCTTCACAATATTATAATCATAGGTATATTGCAATCAGATTTGAGTCATCTGCGTAATGTAATAATGTGGAATGGGTATCTTGAAAACTTGTGAGGATTCAACGGAATTGTTTAACGCGTACTTTTTTCCTATATCAACTTGGCTTTTTTTTACGTTTGTTATTGTCAAACAAACATGCAGATTATTTATTACCAATCTGATAAACGTATAAAATAGTAAATTTTTCTCCTACATTTTTACAATTTGAGATTTTCTGAAAAGTTGCTATAAATAATTACAAAAAAACTGCGCTAAATTAGCGGTACGGGCTCATGTCTCATTCGAAAATCTACAGTATTAACGACTCCTGGAATCTAAACACAGAGTTCTTAATTTATTTACGGTATGGGATCATGAGGATACTAATACTAACAATATTTTTACGTATTTTAGACAGCCAAAAATGTTTTATCCAAGAGTTGCGTGCCGTTTAAGTTTCAGACGTTGCAAGAATTTTTTTATTCCAATAAGCCAGTTCTACGGGCTTGCGAATTTGAAGATTCTGTCTCCCCAAAATAGAAACTAAGAGCCTGTAACGCTAAGGAATGTTATGTTTTTTTAAGCATGAGGTTATCGGCTCGGAAGGTGGTGGACTAAAATTGAGCTGTTTTATATATGATATAAGTGCAGGGGTAAAGCCTTATTTGCGTTTGGTGCGTTACGATCTCGATTTTTCGACGATTTTATAAAGAGCCCGTAACGCTCCTTCATTTGCTAACAGCCCATAATGCTATCTGGTAACGATACAAACGCATTGTATCTTCACTGAGTCCTATCTTATCTGATAAAATAGTATAGTACATAATATTAGAGACATAGTACATCGTACAAGACAAGAATAAAGTTAAATTTTCACTGTGAGTTGTATCATCATGATTTTATATGTATTTTATCATTGATTTGAATACTGTAGTATATAATAGTAGGGGCTCAGTACATCGTAAAAGTGCAAGGATACGGTTAAATGTTTACGGTGAGTGGTACAATCATGATCTCAAGACAATTTTTGCAATCCATAACGCTTTTTTTTTCTTGAATAAAGTAAGAAAATCGTCGTAAGAAATTTTCTGGTGCAGATCCAGCAGGGCCCAAAGAAATTTTAGCTTATTTTGGTCATGGACAATACAAATTCTAGAAAAATTGTTGAAATTAATGTACAATAGAAAGAAATAGCCATGTGGCTTAAGTCTTACCTACACACACATATATATGTACATATGAAGGTAAGACTTAAGCCACATGGCTATTTCTTTCTATTGTACATTAATTTCAACTTTTTATTCGTTAGTCTGTGATAAAGTTATCATATACATAAATATGTATATGTGTCATTCTACTGAAAATGGCATATTTTGAGGGTCGGAATGAAAAAACACTAAAAACGGGTTTTCAATTTTTCTAGAATTTCTTTTGTATTGTCCACGACCAAAATAAGCTAAAATTTCTTTGGGCCCTGCTGGATCTGCACCAGAAAATTTTTTACGACGATTTTCTTAATTTACTTAAGAAAAAAAAATGCCTTATCGCAGACTAACGAATAAATAGTTGAAATGAATCTATAATAGAAATAAATAGCCATATGTCTTAAATCTTACCTACAAAAATACATCACGAACAACAAATAAAAAGTTTTCACTCGTGACGTGATCAAGCAAAATGGCGATCTCTAGGGGAATTAACTCAAATGTGCAGTTTTTTTGTAATTATTTATAGCAACTTTTCAGAAAATCTCAAATTGTAAAAATGTAGGAGAAAAATTTACTATTTTATACGTTTATCAGATTGGTAATAAATAATCTGCATGTTTGTTTGACAATAACAAACGTAAAAAAAAGCCAAGTTGATATAGGAAAAAAGTACGAGTTAAACAATTTCGTTGAATCATCACAAGGTTTCAAGATACCCATTCCACATTATTATATTACGCTGATGACTCAAATCTGATTGCAATATACCTATGATTATTATACTATGAAGAGCTCAGACTTATCGTCATAATGTATACAGGCCTATACAAATAGCTTCGAAGAATCATGGCTTCTTGCAGTCCAAGTTAAGCCATCTGCTTAATTTAATTACATTGGACTGGAACGTTTTTTTAATCATTAAACATTCTTTTTACTATATTTTGTAGTACGGATCATTATAGAGTCTCGCAAGGATTTTAAAAAAATCCATTGTTTTTGCAACACTTTTTGCCCACATCAATTTTGCTTATTTTTTACATTACTTGTCCTATAAACATGTAAAATATTTATTACAAATTTGTTATATCTAATAAGTAAAATGAAATTTTTAAAACTATTTTTATTGTTCGAGATATCCGGAGAAGTTGTAATTTTATAACTACTAATAAAGTGCAAGTTCGAGCTTAATCATTCAGCGATCACCATTATTTCCGATGACGTCACTATTGAAAACAGCTTATTTTTTGATGGGACATTATAAACGTGAAAAATATAGACAAATATTTCCACACTGGGAAAGTGCAAAATTAAACGAATGAGGGTGGATAATAAGTATAATCCCTTATTTTTTGTATTATCCTTGTTTACATATGTTTATGAAACAAACATGCATGAATACACGCTCTAATCCATACATATGATAGAAAAACCATGTTTTTCTTAGCGCAATGAATAAGCTTTGACAACTAATAGAAAATGCTTCATCAAATGGATTTCTCGCGGGATAACATCATGCGCAGACGCTGATGAAAACTAAATTCTGATTCGAGCTCACTTTGTTTTTCCTTCTACTACGTATATGATAGATCCTTTGGCCACTCCACTGCTCCAGGCACCAAAGAGTCCAAGTCCAGTACTGTGTGGTGACTTGCCATTGCCATAGTGTCAGGGAGTAAACGTGTGTAGAACTAACGAAAACGGACGAGAACTCATTGTTAAGCAATAATGACTGACAAGAAAGGTAACTATGAAAGGCTAGTGTAACTAAATTTTTACCTCAATTTACAAGTCAACTGTAGGTTCTTATAGGGCCAAATAGCCGCTTGATTTCAGCCTCTTTATTACTAATACTACTGCTACTATTAAAAGTACTTGTACAAAATTATACTATTGTTGGAACATAGTGAACAATGGCTGCTACGTTACTCGTGCACATTTACCGAGTGTTCAGAATCCATAGCAATCCCTATGCCATGTCAGAATACGTGTTTATCAAGTCTTTAGTTTTGCTTCATATCAATAACGAGTACCTTACTATTTTTCAATTTTTTTTTGTTATTTAATATTTTCATGGCACCTACTTCGTCTATAATATAGAATCTTGATGCTTTCTTCCTATATTCGAAGAAAACAAGTAAGCATATCGTAACCATATTTATGGGTGAGCCGGAAGCATAGATTATACAAACGGCAGTGCAGGTGAGATGACAAAAAATACGGATTTTGCTTCCAACTGACGGATGAATCAATACCGAGTTCCTTCGTCTATCCTCTCTTTTCTAGTGGCTTGCCGCCTGCATCACCTTCATGTTTTGCTCGCTCTTTCGCTCTTCCTTGGCTCCATCTGTTTTCTCCTTCTACTTCTATCTATTTCTCTGTCTTTCTCTCAGTCTGTTTCTCTCTATTATCCAACAAGCACCGATACTGTGCACCAAATTAACGTTATGCTGCGGATAAAATGGTCTCCACGAGTTTATTGAAACCGTCCAATTTTTAAATTAATAGATATATGAGTACTATGTACTTAAGATGATTATTTTAGGAAGTAGTTTGCACTTACAAATACATTAGGATTGTATTAGGTTCAAATGAGTATCGCTCAAATCGACTTGGAGAGACTTTGAGCTAATTAAAATAGATATCTGTATTTTATTCTATATCATAAATAGAAATATACGTTTTTATATCAGCTTGGAGCAGTTCCGGATTATTTTAAGATTTATACTCAAATACTTGGATCTTATGTAAAGTAAAATTACCAGTATGTGAACACTTTATAAGCTTCTACCAGTAGCTTCAACAGCTTGAAACAACTATTTTTATTGTAAATAAAATGTAAAGAATTTTTTATTCATATTCTTACACTTTTTTTCACATATGAAAAATTCACATTTTTGTAAGCCAGTCAGTGGAAAAAATTGTTATTTCTGCTAGTGATTTATCAATGCCTACTACTTAAAAAAGACTGAAAACGATAAATGGTATATGAAACGAATTTTTCGACTCCTATATGCAATGTAAGATAAAAATGCGGAAATAAATGAAAAATAGCCAGCTAAACCTCTCTCCTATTTAGGGAACATAGGATTTTAGAGTACTAGATCGAAAATGCGTACTGGTACTAATTTATTACCTCAAAATGTTATCTATCAACTATTAAAAAAAATGTTTAAAAAAAGTTATTAATTGTAAACACGACCTAGACAATCGACTATTTTTTCTATAGATAAGGAGAAATATAAACTTATTGCTTGAACAATAATTACGTTTTGTTATAATATAGAAATCTATTGAAAATTGACAAAATAAGATTTTACGAAAAAAGTATTTAAGTACACTTTATCGAATGTGTATAAGTATATGTATATTTATACTTACCTTTCGACTACTAGAAATTATTTGTTCGTGTTATTAAGTCTGTCATCCTTATAGTCATACTTTTACCTATGTAAGCTTGAACGTCTTGGATTTGAAACTCTATCATCAAGTAAATCATGTAAGGTGAATGACCCAATACTCAACTAGGGCGCCAACAGCTGATCAACAATGTATTTTGTATTACTTAATTTGTAGGTTAGGTTAGATTTTCAATGAATAAGCATAGGACTGGTTAACTATTGGGTGTCTGGTCGTGTATTGTGTCCTTTACCTTATCTCACTCGTACTTTTTTTACTAATGCCTTCTGTAAATTTTATGAGAGCTCTCAGGCCACATACACATGTTTAATAATTATGTATATTCAAATGTGGAACTACATAGTTCTAAAAATGATTACTATAGTAGTTACATCTTGATTATTTATTTTTCTTTGGCTCTAAGAATTATGCAATACGTCGAAATTTACCCTTACAATGTACAGAGGATTAAAAATAAGATGTTTATCTACACTCATTTAATGACAATAATTATGCACATATTTATGTTCAAAATACTTCTAATGAGTCTAACTACTGCAGATGAGAGTAAAAAAAATTAGGGATAACAAAACCATTTATTAGAGCTACGTTAAGTAATGCTTAATTTAGAAGACATGGTGGTAAATACTGGTAACTCTTCAGCTCTTTAAGAAATATCATTAACATAGGTCTTTCTAACTTCTTAATATTTATGTTAGGTAATGAGTCAACAAAAACGCTAGAAACATACCTATTTTCGAGCCTGACGGTCACGCCACCAGAATCCATTTTTTTAATTCATATTTTCTTTGTCACTTTTAGAAATTAACTCTAAACGAATAATTTACTTTAGAATTATCAAGTATTTTTTGTAGTTAGTTACACTGAAAAAAAATTGTCAGAACCAAGATTCACTATAATAGTACCAAACCGCGTAAAAATTTTAAGTTTGGCCAATTTTGCGCAAAAGTTATGTTTGGCTTAAAATTTTTACGCGGGAAGTAAGTCTTCCTTGAAATAGAACGATAATTTTCTTTAATGGAAAGTATTTTATTATTTGATATGAGTTAGTACTTTTTAAAAGTGAGATGATACATTTAATTCATTTAAAGTAAGATCTTAAAATTTTTTTAGGGTTTAAAATAAAGTATGTCTTTTAAATTACTGACAGACTTTAAGTAAAAAAAGTTTTATTACTGTGATAAATAAATTGAAATTCATAATTGAAAAAAAGTGTTTGAGCTCTAATAATTATGTTCTAACTAAGAGTTGAATTTTAATTCAATGAGTTGCTATAAAACTCACTTTTTGGGATCTAGTTATTATTGACGAAATGAAATTTTTGATTAGAAAATAAACATGAAAAATTAAAAATGTCTTATAAAAATAAGCATTTTTATTCTGTTTTAAATAGAAGCAAGTTGAATAAAAATTATGATGATGAGAAAATTAATTATTATTCGTTAACTAACGTAACAATCTTTTTATTACATAGTTATGATTAACAAAAAAATGTGTACATGGTGGCGTTATTCATATATAGACATTGAAAAAAAATGACTTGAGAATTTTTTTTTGTTTAATTTTGATTTAACATATGGTGGTTCACAATATGGTTGTTAACTTAAAATGCATCAGCTTAGTCAAGAATTCTTAAAACGTAAAGGAAAATAGAAAATAACTAATTAACAATAAAAATGGTGAGTTGCTTAAAATTAAAAAACTAGTAACCGTAATAATTATGTACAAACATTCTTTTCTTAACTTTAATAATATTTTCATGTTTCAGAACTATGTTATCGTCGTTTAATTAAGGTATTGTAACTTTGTAATAGATTACACGTCAGCCTGTTCATTATAAAATCTACTTCATTGGAAGTCAATTATTCAAGAATAAAGAAAAGCCTTTCATTATTTGAAGCTTTATCATCTAGCAAGCTATACGTATAATTATGCTTGGCAGAAGAGTTAGAAGCAAAATTGGAATGAATTTTTAGAAAAGTCCCCTTACAAAATCATCCTGCAAAATTGCTGCAAAAAATCCTGCAGGAACCCTGCCAGCAATCCTGCAGTAATCCCAGCAGAGTTATTGCGCCCATTTTCTGCAGGTTCTCTTGCAGCTTTATATGCAGGAACTCCTGCAAAGTAGGCTGTCTTAAATTTTCAAGAAAAAAAACTGTGCCCAGATCTAATTTATGGAAGGCTTATCATTGTTATAAGACCTTATTATCTGGATGATAACACTAAAACTTGGGAATTAAAGTGTTTTTAAACAATTTTTTAAAAATTGCAAATTAGAAAAAAAAATTATTTTTTAAAGAATGGTTCAAAAACACTTAAACTTCCCAGTTTTGGTATTATTATTCAGATGTAAGGTTCTGAAATGAGCAAAAAAAAATTATTACACCGCTAGTGAATCTTGCTTTGATACTACTAACTCTTGTTAAATCAGGCTCCTATAGTATGGTAAAACTAGTTTTTTGGTCCAGAAAATTCTGACTAGCTCAAAAAAATGGACTAGTAGTTTTAATGTATTATAACGAATTCACACAAAATTAAATAAGTAGAAATGTCAGCAAGAGCCCCAAAAAAATGTTGAAAACATGTTTTTCGCATCTAGAAGAAAACTGAAGAATTGTACATACAAAGGTGCTTAGTGAAAAAGATGTCGAATTTCAAGACGAACAAAACGAGCCGCGTTACATCGCCATTGTCTTGACAAGATTCTTGGTGACCGTATTCAATCTTATAACTATGAAATATCATATTCATTTCTGGTAATTTAATTGATTTTAATGCAAGCCAATTTAAAAAAAACACAACATAAAATTATTAAAGTTTAACGTACATGAATAAGAAATAATAAATTAGGATAAAGCTGGTGTGATTCAATACATAAAAATAAAATAACATTCATAGGACACTATTTAAATCAATTTCACAAATATCTTTCGCTAAGGCACTTTTAATCCACGAGTTCAAACACAGCAAACTGCGAAAGATTTGACACCTTAACGAGGTTCTCCTGTTTGTCATTATAAGCGATGCTTCCGAAAACATGCGTTCAACTGGAACTGATGACGAAAGTATACTTAAAATATCACGTGTCATTCTTGCTAAAGATGGATATAAATTTTCGTGGTCCTGCCACCAATTTAATACATTGATTTCCGCTGTAGCTCTTGGTGCTTCGTAATGGCTTTGGAGTTCATTTTTCTAGGATTGGCCACTTGTTTGAGAATTAAAAAAAATATCGTTCAAATTTAAGAAATCCTCTTTAATGTCAACGGAATTGCTTTCTTCACTCGAAAAGTCCACGAAATTCGATTCATGATACTCAGATTT